GGGGGGGGGGGGAAGGGAACGCTGCCGAGCAGAGAATGGTTTCTAAGAGGTTTTGTGCACGAGGAGAAGGAGGATTTTGGGGTGAGGAGGGGAAGTGCTCCCGCACCTGTACCTGTGAATGAAGAGAAGGGTATGCGGGATGCGGGGAGCTCTGCAAACAAACGCACGGCCGGCAGATACCGGGGACTGAAGCGCGGGCTCTGTGGCAAAATGCTGCGGCTGCCTTCTGCTTCCCTGCAGGAAAACTGCAGTGAATGTGGCCGGGCAGGCAGAACTCGGGGTGCCGGTATTCGGGGTGCGCGAGGGCAGGGGGAGGAGCGCAGAGGACGTGCAGATATGAGTGCGGCACTGAGCGCAGCGCCGAGCGTTCGGCTGTCACCGAAACGGCTCAGACCGCGGCCCGGCCGCACAGAGGAGAGCGCTGAGTGCCTTCGAATGTTACGAGGGCAACGAAGAAATGGTTTCGCTGCCCGCGGCCGGGATGTGGACGGTTCGGTTTGGATGCGAGCAATAACTCGAGGGAGAGAAGGAAAAACCAAAAGAAATAAATGAAAGAGAGAGAGAGAAATAAATCAGTGCACAAGCAATGCTGCAAAACGTAAATAAAAGAGAGCCTTGCGCGACTTTTTAAACATTGGTCTCCGTGCGGTGGATTCACACAAAGGCCGCCCGAGCACAACTTTTTAAAGTAGGGCCGCTGCGCTCCGCTCTCCCCGAATATTGATGTTTCATGGCGCGTTTTCGTTCTGCCCCACGTTGGGAGAAATCCTCTCGTTTTAAACCTCTTTGTGCTCACCGCGCTGGGTGCTGGGCTGCTGCCGTTCCCCCTTTTTATAGCCCTATTTGCAGAGAGCACAAAACTTTCCTGGGGAAAGCAAACACGCGTTTCCCAATGAGTCCGCAGCTCAGAGCCGGCGTTCTGCCAGGTGTGGCCGCGGGTCGGCCGGCACCGGGAGTTTATGGAAGTTGAAAAAAAAATTGGAGGCAATCAACATCTGAATGTGAAAGTCCAGCTGAGGCCGCGAACAATACGAACTATTGTGGGGCGACGTTTTAACTCGCTGCTGTTTTATAGGTATCGTAATCAGCCCCCGGAAATGAGATAAATAGTCCTCCGACAACAACAGAACTCTCGGGTTAAAGCTGCTTTAGGAAACGGGGCTCGCACGAATACCGCTTTCCGGCGGAGAGCGTTTAAAAATAGGATATTGGCTGTGTTGTAACGGGAACACGCACGGCTCGGGGTGTGCCCTCCTCCTCAGGAACCGCGGGGTTACGGCTTTGCCGTGCGCATCGCGGCGAATTTCATCAGCACTGTTACTATCCCAGCCCTGGGCCGGGAGTGAGATTTCCGCTACGGGTAACTGCCATGTTGAAAAATGAACGTGGAAATGTTTGTTTCGCGTTGTTGGCTTTTTTTTTTTTTTTTTTTTTTTTTTTTTTTTTTCCCTCTCTCTTAAAGACACACATCCGTATTTAATCAAATTATTTTAAAGCTACGACGAAAGCGATTGGCTTCTATTGACTCATTAGCAGGCCTTTATTAATTAGGGATAGTCCCGCCAGCTCGTTGTTGGTTTCGGATGTTGGGTTCCTTCGGCCTGGCAGCGGCCGGGGTGGGGAGTGAGGATGGCCGACACGTGGAGGTGTATCGGGGCTGTGCGCGGGGGATCGCCCGTCCTTTCTCAGCCCGTTCTCGGACACTGGGGCGGAACACCCCCTCCCCGCAGGCCGCATTTCCCCGCTCGGGCCCACAGCTCGCCGTTAATTGCCGGAGCGCTCATTAACACCCGGGACCGGGCCCACGCGGGAGGCGCAGCCTCACACAAAGCTGGCGCCTGGGCGGGAAGCCCCGTCGGAGGGGGGATTTCAGCACATCACCTCCAGCCCGGCGGCCTCGGCCCCAGCGCCGCGGTGGGGACGGCGGCGGGGTGCGGTCTCTCTCCCACCGGCAGAGCCCCTCCGGCGCCGCGCTGCCCCTTCCACGCTCCAAACTTTCCCTCCGCAGCATCCATCATCGCCCGCCCCCTCCCCAGGGCCGGGGCCCGGCGATCGCCCACTCCTCCTCGGCGCTGCGCGGCGACAACTTTTACGGGAGGCTCCTCTCTCCTACCACCCCCCCCGCGGCCCCCCTTCCTCCCTCCGACCACCGAAGGAGGGGGCTCCGCGTCCCCCGCTGTCACCCGCGCGCCGCCGTTCTCACGGCGGGATCCCCGAGGGGCGGTCCGCCGGGCGGGGGCGCGGTCGGTCCCCGCGGGCCGTGGGCGCGGGGCGGCGCGGGGCGGCGCGGCGGGGCCGGGGCTGTCGGTAACTTCGCAGCGCGGTGGCGGCGGCCCCGGGGGAGCGGGCGCCGCTCGCGCTCCCATTGGCCGCCCCGCCGTCAGCTGCTCCTATTTTCTGCTGTCGCTTTTGGCGCTCGGCCATCCAGAAACAAACCACTTCGATGACTACTAATAGTTATAGCCAGATGTACTAATACACAACAAATCACGGTCCGGGAGAGGGGAGAGCAAATGAGTTCCTATTTCGTGAATCCCACTTTCCCCGGGAGCCTGCCCGCTGGCCAGGACTCCTTCCTCGGGCAGATCCCCCTGTACCCGGCGGGCTATGATGCTCTGAGGCATTTTCCGGCTTCGTACGGGGCGAACAGCCTGCAGGACAAGACCTACACCTCACCTTGTTTCTATCAACAGTCCAACACCGTCATTGCTTGCAATCGGGCTTCCTATGAGTACGGAGCCTCCTGTTTCTATTCAGACAAGGAAATTAGTAGCGCCTCTCCCTCCGGCAGTGGCAAGCAGAGGGGACACGGGGACTATCTGCACTTTTCTTCCGAGCAACAATACAAATCCAACGGCGTGCAAAGCAAAATTGTGAATGACGAGGGCACCGACCGGAAGTACACGAGCCCTGTTTACCCCTGGATGCAGCGGATGAACTCCTGTGCCGGTAAGTGACTGAGCGCAGCCGAAGGGAAGGGGAACCAAAAGTTTCTTTCCCCCGGATTTTTTTGTTTGTTTGTTTGTTTTGGTTGTTTGTTTTAGGTAAACTCGGGCTGCCGGGGGGGCAATGGTTCCGCAGGCACCCACTTGGATAGGACCTGGCATACTGGCACCCTGGGAGCAGCGGCCGGGAGCCCAGCCTGGTGAAATGGGCAAAAAAATAATGGCAATAGAAGGGACGGAGCAAAGCCCTTTCCCCACTCTTCTAAAGCCACCCCAAAGCTCCGCTCCTACATTGTCAGAGAGCGATGCAAGGAATATGCCCTCTGCACTGAGGATCCAATGCATTTGTGGCACATTCCTCATCGCCCCCCTCCCCCAGCTCATTAGTATTGGATATTGAGAGCACGTTTCGGGGCCGCACTCCCATGGCATCGCAGATTTTCTCTGCCTTACAAAGTGAACTGCATGGGATCAAACCGTTCTGGCTAGGAGTGGTGCTGGGGAAAGGAGGGGTCCTATCGGAGAGGCACCTATTTTTGATAATCCCATTATCACGTTTGCTTGCATTATTTGCTAATGAGTCCCGGAGTGAGAACCCCTCCCGCGTTTATGGTCGTTGGACTATGGGTTGTATTTCTTTTCTTTTCTTTTCTTTTCTTTTCTTTTCTTTTCTTTTCTTTTCTTTTCTTTTCTTTTCTTTTCTTTTCTTTTCTTTTCTTTTCTTTTCTTTTCTTTTCTTTTCTTTTCTTTTCTTTTCTTTTCTTTTCTTTTCTTAC